ATTAGGAATGCCAATAGTGTTGGATATCTATTTTTTAGGCTTTCCATGGTTTAGATAAAATGCGCAACTTATTTTTTCAGTGTTTAATCATGTAAATAATAGTACTTATTAGTCATACTTAGTTTAGCAACTTAATAATTTTGATTATGTTTATTTTTATTATGACTTATTAATAATATTTGTTTTATGTGATTTTATTATCTTTATTGTTGAATATTTTAGTACAATATGGCTCATCTCATATTTTATGTTATTTTCTTGAAAAATATCTTATATAGTTATGTCTTATTAGGATTAAAGAAGTATTTAGAGTATAAATTCTATGTTTTGTGCTATGAAGATTTTATGAAGAAAAAAAACCGAAAAACCCGAGAAAAATCGAAATAGAAAAATCTGACTTTTATTGGTTTGGTCTGGTCTTTAGATTTAATAAACCGACACAATAGGTTTGGTTTGGTAATTGAAAAATCCGAACCAACCCGTGTACACCCCTGCCCCGATGGTTTCCTGACATGGTTTGAGCTAATAAACTTCTTGAATTTTGTAATTTGCAGATGACAATTCTACCAATTATTAAGTTACTGTTAAAAATCAATTATTCTAATGAAATTTAGTAGGCAATCCAATTACTTAAATAAAAATGGTATCTAGTTAACAATAGTTTAAAATCTTACCAACGGTATATCATCTCATCAATTGCATAGATTGTAACAAGAGTCACACAATCTCAATGCCATGAGTTTTATTGATATTATTCCTTTTATTTGGGTAACTATTTGATTTTCGATATTAATTGATGGGATTAAATAATAAATAAAAATAAACCTTTATGACCTTAGGAAATGGTGGATAGCAACTAAAATCAAGATGTAAATTATATTACGCCTTTAATATATGCTATCAACAGTCACAATTTCTCAAGCACAAATTTATTCAATACCATTATCCTTTTCCAAATTGAATAAATATAATGGGATTAAATAAAAATCTGTATGCCCTCCGAAAATGGTAGGTAGTTAGCATCAATTTAATCCATATCTGAATTAGATCACACCTCTTATCTCTATTATCTTCACTCACAGAATCTCAAGTATTACAAGTGTCTAAATTAAATCACAGTATCACACCCTTAAACCTTTTTTTTTAATTGATTGATAACTCCCTTTTCTTTTTTTATTTTTAAAACATAATTTTTTAATAATAAGTTGTAAATAGGCCACATTAAGCATGACAGGTAGCCTAAAATAGATTGTAAATACTCTATACAAAGTTATATGCATTGACAATGTAAAAAAATTATACTGTCAATTTGTGCATTTTAAAATTTTTAAAAAAAAGGGGGGCTGGGGTTTGTTTCTTGTTGAGATATTTATGAGTTTTAACCGTCTTGGGGAGAGATGACTTTGTGGGTTCAGAACTTTGCGTTGAATTTAGAGCAAAAATTGCCTAGAAACCGAAAAGGTACTTGCACAAAATTGATGATTGATTGTCCAATTGTGAAAAAGCAACTTTAGATTAGCTCAAATTTAAGAAGGTTCACTAACTTTTATCGTCACCTCTTTTGGTTTAAGTATTGCAGTAAAAACTATTGTCTGTTTGTCACCTAAAAACTCTGACTTGGACGAACAATTCATTTCATTTTCTTCTTCTACTTCCTTCTTAGAATTGGCTTCTATTCTGACTTTGCCTCTAAAATGCATTAATACCTCTTTATTTTGTTATTTATTATTTAAGTAAATACTGGACTATAAAAAAAGGCAAAATACTCAAAAAGGATAACAAAGTGAAAAAGAACAAGACTCAATGGGAATCTTTTTATATTTATTTACAATGTAAATGAATTTGTTAAAGAAAATTAAAATATCAGTGCTTACATAATTTGATTAACTAAAACCTTTTTCTCTCTCCCCCTCCACCCAAGGAAAAAGAGAGAGACAACATTACAAAAAATAAAAAATAAAAAATTGAGGCTTTTCACCAAAAATAACAAAAAGAAAGAAAAAAGGGGTAAACAAAGAGTTAAAGGTTAAATAAAATTGAGGAGAAAATAAAAAGAAAAGGGAGAAAAAGGGGGGAACAAGGATGAAAAGAGAAATAGCAGAGCTTCAAATTCTGCGCATTGTTCCAATGAAGAATTAATATAAATAGTTGTTCACCTATATGTATAGTTCATGTATATTATGTGTATAATCGTGTATAATCGATATATAATTTATATATAACGTCTAGAAAAAATAAACAATAAATTAATACGATCGGTTATTTGTGTAAAGATCTCACAATTACTTGTAAAATCTTATCACTCAAATCATTTTCGCCATTGTCCAATGGCCACCATTTCTCTCTCTCCTTTTCTCCTTTTAAAACCCAATATATATACTCCATATATATATATATATTCTTTTTTTTTTCCTTTCATTTTTGCATGGTACTTTCACTCGCTACTTCACTTGCTACAAAGCTTCCAGCTTTCATTTCCACCACCTCATTCTGACCTCAACTCTCTCATTCTCTCACTTCCAACTCTCTCTTCATCTCTCTCTCTCTGCATTCTTGTTACTGTAATCCAACTGAGATTTTGGTTCTTGAGACTCTTTCCCTTCATCTTTCCCATTCTCTTTTCTGTGATTAAGTAAACGCTTTTATTTTTGGTGATCATGGCCAGTTTGCAGGCAAGACGCTCGTAAGTTTTTTATGTGTTCACCAGTTATTTTATACGTACATTTTTAATGATTGATACTCTGTGCTTGTCTACTTTTATTTTGATTTTTGGTGTATGTGATTCTTTTCCCTTTGTTTGACTGTTTTTTGTCATGTTTTTCTTTTATTTGTTTGTGTTTTTCAGACTTGAACTTGCCATTCTTGATTACATGACTAAGAGAGGTTTCCGTCAGACTCGTGAGGTATTCGCCACAGAAATTCTTGCTAATCCAGATCCTGTTGGTAAGTATCTCCTTTTGATGAATTCTATTCTTTTAATCAGATGCTAAAAGCTGATCCTCTGATGAATTAAGATATGTGCTCTAGTAACGATTGTTCTTTACCTGAGAGGGTCGTAAAATTCTCATGCCTAGTTTTGTAATTCTTATATATGACCATAGGTAGATTGCTGATCATGTTGTTCTTGAAAATTTTGATAATAAGTTGAGGTCGTTCTCTTTGATTCATGTGGTACATTTTGATTACCTGATGTTGGATGTTTTTGAAACAGGGTCGTCTCAACAAGATTGGGGGCATAAAGCCAAATTTCAGAGAGAGACCCTAAGTAAGAATATCAACGACAAATTTTCAATGAAAAAGTATAAAATAAAGGTAGAATAATAAAATCGGCTCAAGAATTTGATAAGTTGATATACAACAACAACATATCCAGTGAAAACCACAAAGTGGAGTCTGGGGAGGTAGAGTGTACGATGAACTTTTCTCTATCTTGGAAGGTAGAGAGGTTATTTCCCAAATACCCTTAGCTCAAGAGAAAGCATGGCAAAAACAAGGTTAGATAAGGACAATCAATTTAATGCATGGTAGGAAAATGAAAGTAACGAAAGCGAATAAGTCATGATAAAGTAGTCTAAAAAGGAGCAGTAACTATAAAACAAGATAAGTTGATATAATTATATCGAAAAGTGTTGCATTGCTTCAATATAATGATTTTGTTGTAATACTTGATATTTTGAAGAAGACAACTTGTAAGCCGCGGTAAGTTGCCGATTGAGAGACTTTTCAATATTGAGAATAAGAATAGCAAAAGAGAGAATGAAAAATGTAAATATATAAATAATAATGTGGGCCCGCATTATTGCTAGGATATAAATGAGGCAAAAAAAATAGCTACCCTACCCGTGTAAGGAAACAATTCATAAAAAAATATTCTATTCTCTAATTATTACAACGATCCTCACATTAAAGTTATTATACTTTCGCTCCAAATTTTTTTTTTAAATTTAAATGTACACATATTGTTTTTAATAATACATATACAATACATCTTTAAGGAAAAAAAGGCCCTCCAAAAAGTTGGGGCCCCAAGCGATTGCTTAACTGGCCTTATAGTCGAGCCACCCATGTTTTGAAAGTACTGTATTAACAGCCCTTCAGTAATTTAGAGAGAGAGGAGAGATGTATAACGGAGTTGAAGTGATGTGTTAATGTGATACAGTTCTTTGGAGTAATAATTTTTGATTTTGTGATATTGTTTCAGTTATCAATTCTCCTGAAGGATTTCTGCAAGAGTGGTGGAATATGTTTTTTGAAGCTTTCAGCTCTAGGTTCCCTGAGGCTGCTGTACTAGCTGCCGAATCCTTTGATAAGGTGTTACCCGTGGAATTTTTTTTTTTTTTTTTT